GCTAAGAGCATGCCTCATCACTGGTCAAGGAGCACCGCGAGTCCGATATGGAAGAATGAAAGCGATATCGCAGACCGTTTGAAAGAGTGCTTACAGCATGATTAGCGATCATGGAGCTGCCATCCGATCGGTGCGGATTTGTAAAAGGTGACGGTACTGCTGACGCTAATACTATACGGATAGTGATGTGGAAGTACAGAGAAGAACGAAGAGAGCTATATGGGGCTTTCCTGGATGCGGAGAAAGCTTACGACAACCCCATAATGTCTATGGTGGGCACTGCGAAATCACATGGTTCCAGAAGTATACATGCAATGGATGAAAGTGATCTATCACGGAGCCACGAGCCACGTGAAGACTGTGGCAGGACAGTCGAAACCATTCCGTACAAAGAACGGCGTACATCAGGAATCGGTGCTCTCTCTTCTCTTTATCACTGTCATGGACGCAGTGACGGAAGCTTTCGAACGACAGCCTCCATGGACTCTACTGTATGCAGGCGACATGGCCGAGAACAAAAAAGAATGAAGAAGAGGTACAGAGATGGATGGAACAATCAGGGTGTGTGGCTTAAAGCTCAACGCCAAGAAGACAGAATCAGTAGTGAGATTTCAAATTTTAGAAACCATATACATCGATGAGAAACTAATCAAGAAATCGAATACCTTTGAGTATGGAAGTCGCATCTATGGCGAAGGAAGACTTCAAGATGAATTATCTGCTAAGACACATGCATCCCGTATGAATGAAGATTCTTCCTTCACAGGAGTTCTATGCGACATCTGAACGCCAATGCAACTCAGAACCAGATATACCGTACTGTAATCCGTCCCACAGCGCTGTATGGCAGTGAATGTTGGCCCAATATGCGAAATGAAGAACACAAGCTTAGTGTCCTGGAGACAAGAATGCTGCGGTGGACATTGGGTATCATCCTACTTAATCATATCTGTAATGACACAGTTCGCGCTACGATGAAAGTTGCTTCCTTCGTTAAGAAGATGCAGGAAAAACGATGCGATGGTACGGGCATTCGAGCAGGAGAAATGAGACTCAAATCACAAGATTGGCAATGTCTCTGAAGATCGCTGGAAAAAGACTACAGGGAAGGCCAAAGATGAGGTGGTTCAACAGAGCTGACCCGAAAGAGCTTAGGTTTGCTTGACGAACGTTATGCCTTGAACCGAGAATATTTTAACAGTTGACTCTTACAGCAGACCCTGCGTAAGCTGGAAAATGCGAAGATGAAAAAAAAATTAATGATTGTAACTCATTCCTGTTATGCTAAGCTTACACCAAGATGATAAAACTTCTTTCGGCTAACGTTTCGGCGTTATCGCCTTCGTCACTATGCCAGTGTGAGTATGCGTGACTCTGGTTTGGTCTTTGGTTCGTATTTTCCAGTTATCTTGAGTCATGACGTTGGCGTCTGAGATGGTTCATATGTGTTCGACTTTCCAGGCTCTGACGGCGAAACGTGGCCGAATGAAGAAGTTTTATCATCTTGGTTTACGCTCAGCATAACAGGAGTTACCATCATCATGCCAAC